GAAGGCTCTGGCCTTCCAGTATCTAAAGGGGCTCCAGGAGAGCTGGGGAGGGACTTTTTACAAGGGCATGTAGGGGTAGGATGAGGGGGAATGGCTTCAAACTGGAAGACGGGAGATTTAGATGAGATATGGGGAAGAAATTTTTCCCTGTGAGGGTGGTGAGCCCCTGGCGCAGGTTGCCCCGAGAAGCTGTGGCTGCCCCATCCCTGGAGGTGTTCAAGGCCAGGTTGGACGGGGCTTGGAGCAACCTGGGCTGGTGGGAGGTGTCCCTGCCCAGGGCAGGGGGGTGGGACTGGGTGATCTTCAAGGTCCCTTTCAACCTAAACCATTCTGTGATTCTATGATCATACACACATCATAAAAACTAAATCCAAGGACTCAACAAGAGTAATTCAGCTCAAACCAAGACCAAAGTAGGGCAATCTTTTACCAAATTATAGAGGGGCACAGAAAAAAGATAGCTGCCTCTAAAAAAAAAACCCAAACACCTGGAAAAACTGTCTAGGCAGGAAACAGCTGTAGGCAACTGTCTGAGCTGTTGTGTTTTTCTTTAAACCAAAAGTTGGTTGAAAAACTGAAGGATCTGCTACCACTGACATGTCTGACAGACATTGAAGTCCAACAGCTGTGCAGGAATGGTACACTGAGGGAAAGATGAATACAGGCAAGACGTAGCCATCCTAAGACAAAAACCCTGTACCAATTGTCAGCCTTGCTCGTGCTTAATCCTTAAGCAAGACAACCACCAGAAAATCCAACGTTGTAAAGGACTGCTGCAGACAACATTCAGAATAAAAGAAATTATACCTCCATTGCATATTACTTTCCTTTGTTCTTAAGCCAGCCAAACTACAGTTCTCAGCTGCTGGGCAAGCTTCTGCTCCAGTAATTATTCTGATCTCGTGGTATAAGGAAGATCAGTGCTCACAATGTTGAGATTTTAAATTGCTTTGATTCATTAAAGTAGTTAGTGGTGGTTTGAACCAGCATCTTGAGTGAAGTATGGTTTGATAGCTGCACACGTAAGCTTTTTGGGTCTCTTGTAAACTGAATTCAACTTAAGAGCCTGCCCTAGAGCAGCCAAGTGCTTTGAAGCGAAGGCTGCTACCGCTGCAGGGGGAGGAAGAGGTGGTGGCGAAGATCCCCTTTTCTCCACCATAATCGCAGCAGCTGCCAAATGTCACTTTGAAGTAGAACACCGTAATCCTCCTCATCATCCTTGTGCTCTGCTGATAGACAGAGGCAAAAGGATGACAGTGGACAGAGTGAGCGGTATGGAGCAGAAACCTACCGTCTTCTGCTCGAGGAGTAGTGACTCCACTGCAGCACATCCTGTTGCTGCCCTAGCAGGCGGGGAAAGCATGTCTCGTGTCCTGTGCCCTGAAACACCTCCATGTGGGGACTGAAGCACTCCACCATCGCTGTCCCTCTTTTCCCGCCTGTAACAGGCTGCTCTGAAGGGCTGGAAGACCTGTCATTTTGCCACCCCTCTGCTTTCTTCCAAAGCTGCCTGTGTGACATGGCTCTTCCACCCAAGCAGCTTGTATCAGTGCCTGCAGCCACCAGCCAGCCCCAGCCGTCACTGGAGGAGAAGACCTGCGCTGGTCGGCCCCTGCAGCACCATTTATGAATATGTGTTGGATGACTTGTGAAGGTGATGCAAGATTAAGTGAAATAAATAGATAATCCTTAGCACTGCCTATTGAAAAATCGCTTCCGTTGATTACTGAGTAACTTTCCAGCGGTGATTTACGCATTAAATTGCCGGCGGCACCAGCAGCACCGCCACCCTGTGCCCGTGGGGTGCGCTGCACACAGCTACTGCCCACTTCCAATAGTGCATCATTTAACTCACCTCACAGCTGAACACATTTTGTGTCTCGATGAGCAACACATTTTTAACATCTAAAAAATGCAAGGAAAATTCTGTTATGGTCACAGTTCCATCATATTTAGAATTGGACTGTTTAATAGGTTCACACCCAAACCTTGTTAAGCACAGTAGACAAACATGTTCAATGAAGTAGTACTTAACACTGGTTTGTTTCCCTTTTTCAACTTTGCAGCTACAGATATTTTCTTGCATGCTTTATCCTGACTTACTGCCAGCATTAGGTTCCAAGACATGCTGCTAACATTTATCGAGATCTCTTCCACCAAAACCACACAAATTGTTCTTGTTGGGCAACTGGAAGCCTAATAGCATTCAGAATTTCTAATAGTGCTAATATTTTTTACTAGAATCAAGTCAACTTAGGTGCTACCGAGGCAGGATGAGGGTTTTTTTTTTAATATATGTATGTATATAGTATATCAACATCCACAGATTACAGTGTGAGAATTTAAACTGTCAACAGAGGCTTTTTATGTGAGATCTTCCTGTAGATGTGTCCTGGTCTGAGGACCTAAACCATGACAAGATGAGAGATGCTTCGTTAAACCAAACCCCAACAAAGCTGGGACAGTGGAGGGAAGACTAAGACATGCACAGAGCAGCACACTGCACCTTTCCAGCACACTTCCCGTGGATGACTGCTTTCCGAGTGCTCCAACTTCTGGTTTGCAGTCATACAAGCCTAGGTCCAGACCCAGAAGTTTGCATGTATGTTACATCTGCATTATATATGACTACATAAACCTTCTGTGATGGAAGCCACACATCTGCTGTAGTTAACTGACACAAGACACAGGCTCTGGAACAATTACAAGTCCAGTTCCGAGTCCATACTAAACTAAATTCTGTCCCTCTTCACAGGGTTGGCTCCGTAACTGAGACGGACACTGCCCCACCTCTGCCATCTCCCAGCCAAGAGGAAGCACACAGTCCCAAAGCAGTTGGGGCTTACACTACTCTTCCTCTCTCTGGCTCTGCACTGGAGAAGTATTGAAGACTTGTCTAAATCCACAGTACAATTTAAGCAAGTCAGTGTTTTACTCAGCCTAGAAACCTCAGGGGTTTTTATTGTTTTTTAATATAAATCTAAAGGGCAATTTTTCCCTCATTTTGAAAGCAAAGGCAATACTGATGTAGCACATCCATCTTTATCCTTCAGCTGCTTGAAAAACTTTTTAACATCTTCTGTTCAATAAGAGAGCAAAGTATTACATTCCAACAAAATAGTTATAAAAATTTGAGTTTGTTTTAAACATTTCTTGATTTCATACAGAACTAAGCAAGCTAGGCATTCTTTATTCTCTGAAGTAGAGTGAAATATCTGAAAAGACAAGCAACACCTTTTGGTACCCCTTTGCTTTGTTAGAGGCCTTCGGGTCATGACAGATTTACAGCAACTCTTCTTTTCCAGCAGCTTCAGGTTTACTCTACCCTGTGGTTGTCCCCCCCATCCTGTCGAACTTGTGCAGGAAAAGAAGCGACGTGACCTTGGGACTATATACTTAATTAAAAATCTTCTTAGGCTAGAAGAGTGTTTTACCCTCCAGTTGAAGGACTGGACATACACCCCCCAAGATTTTCACTTTTATTAGGAATGAAACACAGCCATCTAAAAAATATTTTAGAAAATTTATTGAAAACTGACATACAAAGGGTGATTTGGTCCCAAGAGAAGACAGACCAGAATCAGATATTTCAAAATAAAGTTTTCCCTAATACTGCATCACATTTGCCATCCCGCTCGCAAACAACATTCATAAGAAGTCTTTTAAGGAAGCCAACAACAAATGAAACTATTACAGATACAAAAGTTTGAAAACACCCAGTAACTTGTTATCTCTTACCCTCTCCAAATGACTGCTATAGCAAGAGTCTTCCTCAGTCCTCTCAGACTTGATTCCTGCTCTACCCCAATCTTCTCCCCCCCATCAATTTAGGCGATTCAACCCTGTTCTCTCTTGTCACAAGGGCAGAAATTAGTTATGAAAAAATTAAAATAGATTTTTTCTACCAGAGCAAATTTCACAGACACAGTTTTTCCCCCCCCATCTCGTGGTCTTTGTCACTAGTCCACCATTGTATTCTTGTTTCAGATGGCGGAATAACAGGGGTCAGTGATGCCATATTAACATCAAACAATTCAGAGGAAATACACCTCTGAAAGTCAATCTTTGGTACAAACATAACAGGAAAAAAATATGCTTAAAAGCCATCTGCAAATCTGATATGCAATTTGTCATTTTTAAGAGGAGAACACCTGCATCTAGATTTGACATATTGGGCCTCTGTCGCAGTTTTCTACAGCCTCTGTCGCAATTTCAGTGTTGCTGGGATGGTTTCATTATTATTTTTTTTTTTTTTTAATTTTTTATCCTTTCTTTTCAGTTTATTTAGGATTCAGAGCTATCAGCTAAAACAGTTCCAACCTTGAACTTTCACTATAATCCTGCAGGCTTAAAACCAGGTAATTATTTGGAGGCACCGCATTTTCTACCCAGTGTCTACAGCCTTCTCCAAACTGCATTGCTTTGCTTTATACTCAAGCAATGTAGCATGTCAAAGGCCATAGATTTTAAATACATTCAAGCAGCTTAATAATACACAGTACATGCAAGAGATTTATAGTAGACCCTGAAATGAAATCAGACATCATAGCAAGATAAAGCTGCACGCATTCTCCAATTTGATAGAAGTCCCCAAATGGTAAAGTTGTACACTGATTTCCAGAGCAATACCTATTCAAATGTTGGAACGTTTTCAGTGAAGCCCTGAAATGTTTTAGCAAGAGACTGCAAATTTCACACAACCTTTGACATGAGCAGCAAGATAGACAGGATTTAACAAATAGGGGCATCTTTTGAACAAAGCTTCTGCTGTTGGCCAAAAGAAAAGAAAGGACAACTGAAAGAGAAACTTGATTTTAAACTATAGACTATGGGTTATTCAACAGTAAAAAAATATCATCACAAAGACTATCAGTTAGCTGTACAAAGGAAGAGTAGATTTTCTTATGCAAACATCTGCATTACTGTGTACATGCTCCTTTATGTTAGCAAAATGTCAAAAACAGACTGGGATGCTAAGACTCTGAACAGAACCTATTACTTGGAAAGGAATTTCTTACAAAAAGCCTCAATACAGCTATCTCCGAGAAAGCTTAAGGACTTAAAAACAGAAGATAAGATTCTCTGCCTTGTTTAAGGGTTTTAAGCATAATGGAACTGTTGTGCATTGAGGAAAGGTAGAAGCAATAACTCACCGGGGATTCCCTTTTTCAAGGCCCTAAGCAGGGTACAAAACTCTTTTGGCATACATCTGTATAAACTATGTGACGTTATGTTAATGGCACATGTTCTGGCTTAAATTTTAATTCCAGATTCCCTCAGGAATAAGACAAGCATCTTCTTTACTTCACCACCAATGCCAGCAGTCTCAAAGTTTGGGACTTCGTTACAGATGATAATCAGCATTCGACCCTCTTCACACCAGAAAAATCACCTCCCTCTTACTGATTCACTTACCATGTTTACCAAAATTAAAGGATGCCAATTATTTAATCAAAAGTTATGCTGTCTTCAACTGACTTTCCAACTCGATGCATACAAAGAATCACAGCACAATGTAAAACGTGAATCAACTGACTGAGAACCACTTTTCTCCAGACTTAGCATCATTTTGGGGAGGGGGGCATCAAACCCCCACAAAAACAATTTAGGAGCCAATGAACCAAAGATGACTAAAGGTAATAGACATTTTGCAAGTTAGTAGCTGGTTTTACTTTCTACAAAGCAAAAGGCTTATGCTCAGCTATAACATTCCTTCCCTATCACGCTGTAGAATGTATGATTTCTACATCTGAGTTCACATCAAGTACAAAACAGCCACAGACAAAACAGTGTGAAAAGCTGTACTTCCATAGGGACTGGTTTTCTATCTGTGACTAGACTCAGAAGCATTTCTTCCTTTCCATACCTTTTTGTAATTCAAATTAAACTAATTGACCAAGCATAGTATGTGCACCAAAGTCTTAATGGCTCAGTAAGTGAAAGATGTGGCTTAAGCCACAGTTACATTCAATATTTGCATTTTACACTTTACCAAGAACAATTAAGAGGATATTTCACCATAAATCAAGATGGAAAGCTACTTCCTTGTTCCAAAGGCCTCTGGATTACCTCCTCAGTAAAAACAAGAATATCTAACAGACCGGAGTATAGAAAACTTGGGTTTGTTTTTTTTTTTTTTTTTTTAATTTCCTTCAGTTGTGTCTGGCCAATCCACGTTGTTAGTAGGAAAAACAAAAAATAAAACTTCAGATTCACACATCAAACCAGAAAGAGGGATTAAAAAATAGCAATAAAACCCACCAGAAGCTCACCACTTCCAGTCTAAAATCTGACATCTACAACTCCATTTCTTCCTCTGCACACCCAGAGATGCCCAAACTAGCATATGGATCTGGAGACATGGCAGTCTGTTGTGATTCAGGAAACGTTTCAGTCTGTGGGTCAAAAGCAGCTCTTGATGTTGACTGCTTAGCTTGACACCCTTCTGTACTCTGCTGCTTGAAGTTCTTAACAGAAACAGACTTCAGTTTATCTGTGAGAAATTCAGGAAGAGGTTTCCAAAGCACCAGCTCCATAGAAGGACGGCTCCTAGAAGGGATGGAGTCTCAGTTAAATTTAAGTTCTCCAATCACTATTAAATGCAGAAGACCAGTTAAGTAGCTTCATCATCTGTGCTAGCCTGGAACTATATTCCAAAATCCATTTTTTTTTCCCCCTCTTACATTTCCTCTTCCTTAACCAGTTCCATTACTTCTAGGTCTAACCCTGTATTTTCATATTTTCTTTCTTTTCTTTTGCACCAAACTTGATGACCACTGCTGGTCACACTTTAGGACCTTCTTCTTTTGGAAACTCACATACATAAAAATTAAGATATAATGGTTTATTCAACAGATTTCACTCTGTACAGATGAGGAGTACAAAACAGAAGCTTGATGACCACTATCATTACACTTAATTCTCTTTTACATTAGGACAGTTTCTCCTATATTTGACCAGATGAATGGTCTGTTATACAATGTTGGCTGCATCATGCAGTAATTAAGGACATCTCCATAACCATGAGACTGGGTCTCTCTTTTCATTTGCACATGTTAGCTACATAGCACCATGATTTCCTCCAGAACTTACATAGACTCTATTATTTTCTTTGTCAGGCCTTCACCAAAATCCCTCTTCATCCCTTTTTTAAGGGTATCTGACAGGATAAGAGTGGGCAGATTGCTAACATTTCCATCAGCATGAACTTCCTCATCTTCATCAATTATCCTAGGAATGGAGGGGGAAGAGGGAGATAAACACTATTGAGCATACTGTTAACAGGCACATCCACTGTAGACTACAGTTACATCTACATGCACCGCATTATACAGTGCGGACATCTGACCTAAGCTGGGTACCAGAAGCAGCAGGGCCATGTTAACATGAGTCTTTCTCAGGCCAACATACCCTAAGAATGACCGTTACCACAGAAGCCACTTGAGCAGCTATGCCACTTCTGGTACTGAGCTAGCTTTGTTATCCCTGCACTGTCCAGCGGTGCGCAATGCAGACATACACTAAGAGAAAATAAGTAAATTCACTTCAAGGGAAAGTGTATGATTCAGTCACATTACCAGAACGAGTCTCAGTTATGCAGTAGCTTTGCCTGCTCAATTCCCCATATCTTGACTTAGAGAATTGTTGAAAAGCTACTGAATGCAGTCCTTAACCTTTGAGGATGTTGCACCAATTCCTCGGAGATTAAAATGGCAAAAGAGGTTGAAGCATTTAGAACAAACTGGAGGTATCTCCTTTGGTTTTGGTAAACCTTTTAAAGAAAAATTAGGAAGGATGGGGAACAATCCTTTAAGAGGTCCAAAGCAGACTTTGTAATGCACTTATAGCTAGATAACAGAGACATATAGCTCTACTCTGATTTACCCATGAAAAAATAAAATAATCTAACAGTACCTTGCTTCCCTTCACGCATCACCTATGGAGTAATCATCTAAAAAAAAATCTTGTTTTATAATTTATATAACTTTTGGCTTTTCTAACAACTGTCTGCAGTGGTCATTTTAGATATTTTGGAATACCAGCTCAACTGCAATCAACTAATATCTACACGTGACACTCCCAGAAATCTTTCAAAGGCAAGAACGCACAGTACATTATTAAGTGACTGCAACAGACTGCCCACATCCACCCCATTACCCCAATACCAAGCCATCAGTATTTAACAGCAAGATGAACCTCAGTCTTATTGCATACGTGCAGAGAGATCTCTCTGGCTCATGCTAGTCTCTACACTGACAAATTCACATCTATCTTGAGCATTTAGAAGTATTAATCACAGAACAAGCTGCAATTGATTGAAAAAAAAAAAAAAAAGCTGAGCTCAAGTCTGACCACACAATATCAGTTAGAATTTGAGCTCTGGATACTTACAAGAGAGCATAAAACCCCATTATGGTATATATAGTGATGCTGCATAATGATTGTGAAGAGGTGGTTATTTATTCAGCATCTCTTGCTAATTCAGTACTCTCAATTTCAGATCATAGTATCAGCCCCAAGACTCACAGAGCCATAAGTAGCCTAAAAAGAAATCACTTGAACAGAAGGTTCATCTCAGGCTCACAGTAGTGTTACCACTCTGCTAAGTGCTAGATTTAACCCTTAATGCCCACCAAAAAAGGGAAAGCTCAGCAAAGCCAGTCTACTCAATCCCTGCATTTACCTGTCCTCAATTTCCTGAAGCTTCCTGCGAGCAACCTCGCATTGCTGTTCCCCCATTGTCTGATCCATTTCTTCACAGGGAATTTCTAACATGGCAGTTTCAGGACCGCTGCCACCACACTGACTTGCTACCTCCCCAGCTGCCTGCTGACCTGCACAGAGAATCCATTCTTCAGTGCTGGGATTCAAAGGGCAATTTTTGGCTCCTGTCAGTCTCTTCTTCCTCACAGGACAGCTAGGAAACAAAATAAGTTTACAATTGTCAAAAGAGAAATGTGGCATTCTACAAGAAAAAAAAAGTTACAGAAAGTCATGTGCGTTTCAACAGATTTAACGCACTATGGAAACGCAACCTCCACAAAGAAAGATCCACATTGGTCTTATTAAGATGTGGGTACCAGTGCAAGAAAAAAAAAAAAAAAAAAAAAAAAA